TGCAAGTAATCCAATGTATAATTTGTTTCATAGCTTTTGTCATATTAACATTTATCTAAAAATTGTAACAATGTGCCCCCCGCTCTCCTACATGTACACCCATGCGAAGCTGGGGCGAGTAGTTTGTTATGGATAAAGATATAAGTAGACAATATAAGTTTTGATAATATATGCAATTTAGATCTTATATTTTAAATTATAGCGGGCATTTTTAGATGAATCATGGTCTAAATACCATGTAGATTATATGTATACCTCATAAAATTAACTACCATAAAACCTTTACTTCCATCAAACTAGCAGTAAAATATATATTGGCCATATAGTTGTAAAAGAACATTAAGTCCCTGTTGGTATCGTAATATTTAGATAGGAAATAATGCTGTTTGTATCGTTATATTTCGTAATCAAAGGGAATAAAATAACAAACTATAAGGATAGAGTACGTACATAACCCTAGGGATATTGTTTGTTTGATTTATTTATTAGAAGAATGTAGCGTTCTATATTTTTATCGTTAGAGTCCAAGGTTGGCCCTATTTGGGTATTTTGTTCCGATAGCTTAGCTGATATTACATTACTATATCGATTTGTGTTGCCTATACATTATTAATAATACAATATCGTATTCATTAATTAAGTTCTTTTACAGTTGCAATTTATATTCTAACTCTAAATCATTTATCACACAGGGCCAATTGGGCCATTTGGGCTTCTTGTGTACGTTATACATATTTTTCTTAACGCTATTCTTACCTGTTATTTCTGCTAGCTACTTCAGTTGAGAAGACCTAGCAAGAAACTTAATATATTATAATTATTTGTTATATTATAAAAGTTTAATATATTTGTTAAAGGACATAATCTACCATATGTCTGTTTTTTTTCTTGCTTTCTCTATTACATTCATCAATCAATTCTTAAAAGTTCATCGGTAGTGAATATTTTACATAACAATGTAATATAACTAAGAGATATTACTGTACAGAATCTAAGTAATTTTTCTGTTGCGTTAAAATGTTTGTAATATAAAGTTTTTCTAAATAAAAGACATCATTACTTAGTCTAGTTTTTAAAAATTACAGCAAAATTTTATCTAGTAATATTTAAGACACTTTACTTTTATAAATTTTAAAACATGCGTTATTTTTTTTATAAAACGTTGAAATGTGTTGAAATATATTTAGAAATACATTATCGCGACTTAAATTATAATACTATTTAATAATAATTTGTAAATATCTAATAACATGACTACAATATTAATGAATCGAACAGGAATCCGTGGTAGCAGCATTGCATACATAATTATAAACTGTCCCTGACCTGTCGATCTACTAGCATACATTGCACCTGCCATTTATCTGCAAAAGAAAGCAGCGCTCGTGGATTTCTTTGAATAGAATCACGTCACGTAAATAAATCAGTAAGTAACTCTAGACACGGCGAAAATAAACCAGTTTTCTTTCGCGTAATGGCAATTAGTAATTGTTCGCGGCTGGTTCGCCTTGCTCCGATGACACAGTGGTCAGTGGCCATTTGACGTCGATAGAGGTGCGTTGTATATAGGGTTGTCACATTTAAATTACAATTAATATCAATAGTTCATGCTTCGTTTAGTTGAATGTTTATCGGAGGTAATAATTTTAGGCGTTTGTGCATCGAAGTATGGGATTTCTAATAGACTATACAAATATATAGTTAATATTATATATAGGTATATATGCAAATTTGTATTGCATATATATTACTATTTGAGATGAATAGCGCAATTAAAATGTCTTATGCTACTAATAAATGAATAGCATACATTAATAAGTAAGAATATTTTTTATAAGAAGATTTTTCATGTATGACAAATATTTATATAATTAATGTAGTAAATATTTACATTATGGTATGGAGAATTAATGTATAAAATACCACTTAATTGCTAGTAGGTTTCATGTCAACGTCCTTTCATTTTATAGAACCCAAAAATTCGGAACGTTTACGTAAACCTAGACAATTTCACACTCTTTAAAGGCCATTGTTTAATTTTTTTTATGCTCTCGTCATAGCATAATGACATAACTGTCTACCAAAAATTTTAATTACCTGCTGTATTTAAATAGTGTAAGTAATTTAATTATTGGCCAACAAATTAAATGACTTTATATGTAATGTGTAGTGTTGTATCAAATACCACATAGTTTTTTTATATTTTCATTATAATTGAGATTTTTACCGACTTTAAAAAAGAAGTCATTTGCAGTTCAGATTTTTTTTATCTTTCTTACCTCAGAACTTATTACTTATGTAAAATAGTGTAGTTTCAAATTATTTAAATAGAAATGTTATTAAAATGATTTAGTACGTTTTAATAAAATTTATTATATACTTACATTATTTTAATTTATAATAGAATTGGTTAATAATTCAAATTGCCTTGTTCCAATGTGTTAAATTGGAATAGTAGAAGATAATTGATTCGGATATCAATTATCTTCTAATGCATCCCTAACAGTGCGAAAATGTTGCAAACAAATCATAAAGTTAGAATTTTATAACACATGTATTTATAAACTGTATTTAGTCAACCCTGCAATTACCACTCATCCGCGACAGTACAAACCAGCTGGACAACTTTCGCGACTCGTCCCAATAATGCAAGTGGACTATTACATCACTATCCAATGACAGTACTACTTCATACATAAGATCAAATGATTACAATAGATTCAAGCCGGGTATCGTAAATTGTAGGTTATGGATGAGATGCGATATTTGACTAGTGTTAAACATAACAGTTCACGACTCGGAGCGCTCAATATAGTTCGCAGATCTACGCCGAACTATTTTGTTATTTTTTGCAGATATCTCGATTTTATTACGCGTTTTAGATCACGAATACGGAATCTTGATTTTTTAGCATTCAAATATGTGTTCTTGCTTTTTAGTACCTTTATAGATATAGTTACCTTTATAGTATTTTAACAAATGAGCTAAAGAGCAGATCTGACAGCTAGTTTACATGGTTCGTCCTTGGGAGTTGGAACTAATTTCATCACGAAGTACATAATTGTAAGTTTATTTTTGTTTATAATACGCTATAACTTCGATATTTCTGAATATTTTTTAAATAAAGTAGAAGTATCAGTTTTAGTGTCTTTTGTTATAATCTCTTAAATTGTTATGTATTTATTGAATCAGATGAATTGAATCCATTAATCACTAGACTGGTGGTTACATATTGTTTCATCAGTTCTAATCTGTTATTTCTTATTCCCGTGAGACAAAATTGCTTATTTTCCTCAAGAGTAGTGTAACTTTCCATGAGTAAGATGAGATGTTTAAGAGTCCATTCAATAAACAATAATTAAATAAATATAAAAATTACATAATCTAGTTTTAAATTTCAAATTATAAAATGTAAATGATGCTAAGTAACGACATTAAATTTTATTGATAAGGTCTAGAGTATAAGAAGTTGATATCGCTAATGTTATTACTCCTTTTCATGGATTTTATGGTGATGACACTTTTATTTCATTTATTTATAATTAAAGCTAAACGGAGTAGTGGTGCTTGTTACATACTACACCAAACCTTTAAATCTCTTATGCTGTGTACAGATATTTCGTAATATACTGTATTAGTGATCTAGATTGAATAATAACCCCACGACCCTTCTCTCTATTAGATCTACTAGGTCAATCCAATTGATCATAATGTGTGTATACATACATTTATAAATTATACAATTAAGTAATACAATTTTAAAATACTGATTAAAATTTATACCAATTATTATAGACTTCACCTTTATTTGAGACAGACTAAACGGTCAGAGTAAAAAATAGTAATGAAAGATTAGCTTAGAAATACAAAATATGTACAATAGAATAGAATAGATGGTTTTTAAACGAGAATTGTTTATTAAAAGTTGAATAATTTAATTATTCTTTACAAATCAAAAACAATGCTATAATTATTTATTCTGATATGGGACAATCTTTTACGAGTATCACCATTTTTTATTTTCTGTACCACTAAGTTTGGCTGCCGAAGGTACTTAACTGGTACATGTATTATGTCAATTTTCCTCAAAAATAAATAATTATTTCATTATTGTATATTAACCTTCAGTAAATATTTTGTATTTACACGGCTATGATTATATTTACGGCTATATATAATTACATTAAACACTAGTTGAGTCCACAGCTTCATGCTAATTATTATGCATTTGAACAGATAGATAGACTACACTGTATCATGTAGTGCAAGTAAACAATTATGAACGAGATTCTTGTACTCGTAATCGAGAACAAGAAAAGTGATCATCGAGCGTGGAACGAACCTAATCAGAAATAGTTTGTTTACGATTACGCTACTTTATGATTCTGTGTTGCAAAACGAAATGGCAGCTTGCGATAAAAATGTAATTTCAAATCGAAGTTGAAAATTTTTAAGTTTTTTGGCCGTATTTTTAAAAATGATTATCAAAAGTTTGTAAAATAGAGTTATATATTTTTTCAATTAATTTATTTAACTGATATGAATAAATACTTATAAATAATATATGTTGAAAATTTTTAGTAACAGATTTTACAACTAATAAATGGTTACAAGTATGTGCAGTTTTGTTTTTTCTTATATTGTTCCTATTATGTATATATTCCTATTATATAATCATTCTTTAGTATTTACTGAAAAATAGTGACGAACAAACTAGTCGCGCTATAAAATAAAATAATTTGGCAGTTTATTAACCAAATATTTTGTGAATACAAGTACAATTTGCTGTTCAGTACTAAAGTTTAGTTATTTTTAGTATAATTGAATTAATTGCAGTTATTATTTTTTTCAATTTCTTTAAAAAATAGGGCATAGTTACAGAACTCCAGGTAACCTTGTCCGCAGGGCCGGCGACACTCGATCTCGTAATAGAACTCAGTGCGTAGGCGGACGATCTTTCTCTACACCGCGATTTGCTCAAAACACTCATCTCACGCGCACAAGTCGAATAGCGAGATATGCGGCGCCAACCGGCGACTTTAGTGTATTTTTCTAGTGTTTTTGTCTAAGTGTGTGCATCTGATTTCGATCTGTCAATGTGTGTGTTTTCATAAGATGAAGTACTTTCAGTTCTGCCTGGTTCTGCTCTATAGGTACCTATTGTTATCTTTTTTTCTTGATATTTCTGTGTGAATGTGTTTAATTAAAACTCCCCGTTTGTTTCGTTTACGTGATCAAGTAATTTAAGTTATTTTATGCTATTGTGTAAGTGAACGGTGCATAGAGGTATGAGTTTTCGTTTCAGTAGATAGAGCGTCTTATTTCTAGTGTATTACAAATATCTTCGATAAGATTTTTTTTATTAAATTATTATTTGAAATTGATAACTTCAATATTAATTACTAATTAGATACTATAATATTGACAGTGTCGTTCGAACTTGTCGCTAATTAAAATTTTAGTGACTTTTTGCAATCATATGGAGTAAAAGTGGTTGGTCTTATATCATGTTATGTTCCATGTTAATTTCGCCTCGATTTAAGTGGATTCCTGTAGGTTAAAATATAGAACAGTATAGGACATATTAAAAAATATACAGTTACATGTAGGCTCAGTTAGTTTTCAATAAGTATCATACTTCACTACTAAACTGAACTAAATATAGATGAAGCAATTAAATAATATAATAGTGTACAAATTGTAATTATTCTTTTTTTTATTTTTAATTACAGTTCTTTTTATCTTATATCAGTAATTTAAATAACATCTATATGAAATAGTTTTCAAGAGTATCCGTGCTGATTTATAAAAACTTCAACAATAGAGTATACTCCAAAAATTAAATAGTTCCTTTTACTACTACTAGTTAAGTACTATTATAAAATGTAAGCATATTCAGAAGTTAACGTAAACTTGTAAGAAAATGTATGTAATGCGGGGCTTCGATGGGTGATATTATTTGTTAATATTTATAATTTTATGGTTATACACGAACGTATACAAGGTTAAAATTAACCGGACTGTTTCGTAACATACTGTATATGTAATGACGTAGGTAACGTACCGACCACGAGAAATTACGATACGGGATGGTATTAAACTAAGATAGTGTTGTTAATGAAATTGTTATGTATCTACCAATGTCCTTACGTAAATGTAAAGTGGTTTTATTTTTAATTCAAGATTTTGTGCACAAGAAACATGCTAATTGGTTTAACCACGGCGCCTGAAACCGTTATCTCATATTCCCGTGGGAATTTCCGGAAACCCTTACTTTCAGATAATTACATGATAAAAAGAATCTAGGTACATTAAAAAATAAAGTTTTAAGGCTTTTTAAAATACTGAGTAATAATTGATATTTAGTAATATTACAATATTTTTCATGTTCATACATTATTTCGATCTATTTTATTTATATTATAATATAGTATATAAAACATATTTGTTATGAATATGTTATGATTATTAGTACCAATTATTAGTAATAATTGGTAATATAATAATTATATATTATGCAAAAAATGTTGTTTAGTGTTATTCTGGTTTCAATTGAAAGCAAATTATAATTTTAGGGAAACCATTACAAATTCTAATTTGAGATTCATTTGAACGTGGGTATAACGTCCAAATGGATCTGAAATTAGAATGGTTTATTGTATTTGCTTACTAGGAGAAGTCTTGCATTATTAACTACTATATTAAAAGTAGATTTATAATCATTCAAAAATCATTTTTAAAGTATAGAGATATTATACATGTAATATTAGATCTTCAGCATTATCATTATAACCTGTATTCATCCGAAATAGAATCCGTATCTATTGTGAATGGAGACACATATTGTCTAGAGCAATATTATAAAGAGAACATATATTGTCAAGAAAAATAATACTAGCCACCGATTCAAAAAATTCATTCATAAATCAAGAAATTATTTCAGTGTTCAAAAGGTACGTCTTTCCAGAGTAGCATAGTTTCATATAATATTAATATATATACGATTCTTGAAAAGATATGAACATCCGATGCCGATGTGGGCCAGTAGTCAAGAATAATCTATAATTTTTTGAGTTCTAAAATGACAGCTAATAATTTTTATGCTTGAAAGACTTTTAGAAATATAGACGGTTAAGAAAAAAATTGTATTTCTCATAATTTATATCCCGGCGAATATGAATTATGAGAAATACTATACAAATTATATGTATATATTATAGAATCATGTGCTATTTATATTTGAAAATGTAATATGTTTACCCCATAGGTACCTACTTCAGAACGTGAAGTCATAAGCATAGGACTTGTTATACCACTCTTGGTAACTGAGATTCTAAGCATATTACATCAAGGTTTAGTTTGGTTATCATATCTGTACAACGAAGTAAGTATGCTTTGTTTCCACCGACATAAATAAGTCAGACGATGCCACCTAAGCAGATGACTCACAACAAACACGTGATAAATTACTTTTTAACCGACTTCACAAGGAGTTTTCAAATAGACTAAGGTCGAGGTTCGATATCCGTATAATACAAACATTCATATTCGTGAGTACGACTATATTTGTTGGTCTGGGAGTTTACTATGTATATTTAAAAGAAAAGTATTTATTATATCTGTTATTTAGTAATCGTACCTACCTAGCTCTGTTAAGTTGATCTGGACTACGCTATATATTGTATTTAGAGGTATTATTGTCATAATTTCACAAGTTTTACTGTAGGCTATACTTAAGTTAATATTTCTCCTATATCTTACTAGACCACAGGTAATGTAATTTGTTGTATACAAATAGCATTCTACCAAATGGTATATTGTGTTTATGAGAAAATATGTCATTGCATAATAATTTTAACACAGTACTACGAATACACGGAATTGTTAGTTTTATAGTCTATTATACATTTTTATAATTAAAATGTAATATATTCATTTTTGTTCCCATTTGTAGTATCTAATTAACTATAAGACAGCGGTAACATTGAAAAAGATTCTCAGACGAATTTGTTACATCTTACACTAATTTGACACGCTATAGTATTGTTTATGAACAAATAATTAACATTATATTTAAAGAAATGGCGTGGGATCTCCATTGTAATCTGGCGGTTGACCGACTAACTGAATCGTGAATCGTTGGGCTTACCAATTTTGTCGCGGTCGGTAAATCAGGCGATTGACCTCAACCACAGAATATATAATAGTCTACAATACCACGATTCGTTATTGCAAATGAATATCTTAAGAGTGAATTTGGAAGTGACTCATCGGAAATTTAAGACTAAGCAAGAATTTTAGTTTAAAATATTAGCACAAAAGTATTCATATTTTTTATGTCTGTACAGTGCTGTCTATGTGACTGTATACAGTATTGTATATAATTACATAGAATATTGAGAGTGACCAATCAAGAAGTGGTAGAATCAAAATATGACTATTCAAAAGTGCTTGTAATGAGTTTATTTGAATAAAGATTATTTCTATTTCTATAAGAATCGACAAAAGCCAGAATTTTACACTCCTTATTACGAAAATTACTCGGACGGAGTATTATAAAGTTTAGGAGAAGAGTAGATATATTTTTTTTTTAAATCCTTAAAATACATTTACAAAATATAAAATAACACACACTACTAGGCGTTTGACACACACTCACATATGTAGGTAAGAAATGTTCAAATTTTAAATTATATTATCAATTAATTAAAATTTAAAAATCGTTTTGTGATTAAAAAGTACTAGTATTGCAGGCATCGTTAAATTGAAATAATATCTGCAAATACATTTTATTTTTATTATAAAAGCCATTAAATAATCTCACAGGTAAATCCGAGCGACAACTATATGATCGGTATAAGTAAGCCTCCAAAAACCACTGCTGGTGGTTCGTTTTGCAATATCTGCATATTCAGCAGGCAGGTAGGTCGCGCATTTTGAACATATTGTGTACAAAATGGCCATCTGCTAGCAAGGTTTCTGATACAATCTGCAGTTACACCGTTACAAAAATTTTATAATTTTCATTGTAATGGCGATGCTGAAAATCTTCTTATGAATTTTACACGGATGTTATTACGCATAATAAATTTTACATATAATTTTAAACATTTTGAACATGTTTTTCTCATAACTAACTTGAGACAGGTAGGTATACGTGTTAGAAAAGATTTGAGAGGTAAAGGGTAAAATCGATGTACCGTACATTACAATAAATAAAATCAAGTAGCGGCAGAATTGTAATTTAATAAAACTGTGTAATATTATGTTAACTGTAATAAAACATAATTATTTTCTCTAAAACGTACAGTAAATAATATCAAAGATGAATCCTGAATTGAATTAATAATTTAAATTATATTTTTTTAATATATAGATAATTTGTACGGTTTGTACCTAATAGATTTAGAATACACTTATTAATTTTGCGAATAGCATTCGTAAGCTGTAGGTATACGTATACGCAGAATGTGCTGATGCCAGAAATTCCAAGGTGATGCTGACAGGCAATTGCCGGGTTGCCTTGCATTTTTTGCATAAATAAACGAATAACGTGCCTTTATTAACGAATATATTTCAAGAATATTTAAAAATAATGAAATAAATATTACTTTACATTTTAAAATTAACATTGCTTTATTTTATATATGTACTAATGAAGTCTAAACAGATTTCAAAGATTTATTTTAAACTAATGTCTATTTAACTATCATAAATAAAGATTATATATTTTTATTTGACGGCCTACCTGGCGGTTGAGCAAAGCGCATTACTTATTAAATACATTTAATTTTGTAAATATATACATATTAATCTTCAATTTATGATTGTTTGTATCAAACTGGGTGTTTTTTATATGTAACATGTATGTATTTACAAAATTAAATGTATCTACTTATATCAGTTGTCTAGTACCCATAACACAAGCTCAGCTTGTGTGAATCGTTCTGAATCGGGACTGGGTGAATCGTTTTGAGACAGTATTATTATTTTCATCATAATCAAAAGCTGATTAAAATTGTTGTAATTTACAAAGACATCAATTTATCAAAAAAGAAGTAAACAGTTCAGAGCTTTATCTTTTTGTAGTCTATAAAACACGGGTCCTATATTATGCTGATAATGAGACTGTATAAGATGAGGTTTTTGCAATGTCACCGAGTGCGACGCGGACAGTAAACCTGTCTTCGACCTTGCCACCGGCAACCGGTAAGTAACCGGTACTGTTATTTATAAATTATAGACCAAACCAGAATAGTACTACTAGTTCAAAATTATAAATGTACTAGGTAATTTTGTTCTAAATTTTCTAGGAGCAGCTTACATACTGCCTAGTTATTACATTATTTAGTTAGTTTTCTTTTCACGGTTTTAAATAAGTTATTACTTTTTCCTACTTTGTTCGTCAAAAACTTGTTATTGAGTAAGTAATTCAGAATATCCAAAATCCGTGTAGGTATTAAGATACTTAGGTATTATACGCGTAAGTCCATGTGTAATAATTACATTTTCTCTACCTTTACTTTTTACCTCTATACCTGTTGATAATTTTATTTTTGTAAGTATATATACATATACAAGTAACAGGGTCCTTGGTTTCTATAATTAAAAAATAAACATTCTGAACTTTGTTTATAAGCTAATTACGTAATCAGGATTTTCACATGATAAACATCATAGTATAGCATTAACAATTTACACTTTTAATCAGATAAATAATAATTTAAACATTTAAACTAATGTACGTATATATAACGTAATTAAATAGTAATAGGTATAAAAAATACTAATATTTTGTAGTAGTATTTTTAATAGTATTTAATTAGGTTATACATTAGGTACCTAAGTACCGATAGCAAAAAAAATTTAAAATAATATAAGGGTAACATTGCAGACGCAGTTAGTTTTTTGAGAATAAGCATGTTATTGTCTAAATATCAAATAATTACTATGCAATCGAATTACAAAAATATTGTTTAATCTTTCATACTTAATTATATTTCGTTTATTAGTTGTATTGTATAAAAATTTATACATAAATTGTCCTGTGTGTTATTGAAAAATGTAGCTAAAGTTGTATTTAATTATTTTCCTGTTTAATTAAATATAATTACGATTGTAACTTAGCCTTATAAGTCACAAGGTCATTGTCAGTTGAATTAAAATTTTATTAAATCGAAATAATTTCATCGAGTCATTTGTATAAAGGTCATTCACTCTTTAATATAACGCAAGGCAATTGGGGAAGAATGTAATAGTACATAAGCAAGGGTAAAGGTAATAATTATTTTGTATTAGTTGTAATGAAACCAAATTATAGCACAATGACAAACCTGAAATTGGACATATTCCAAAGGTTCCAACCAAACAAAGAAAATCTTTGAACTAGATTCGGTAAAGTATTTATACAATAGTATTTAAAATGGCGTATTAGTATTTTTTTTAAGATCTCTTTAGCCTATATATTGGCCTACGTCTAAAACATATTATGTCCAAAATATTATCCTGATTTTCGTGAAAACTTAACATAGAGATAGACATAAATAAAAATACAGAAATATTTAACCTTTTCACGTTTTTTAAATTTTATTATATGTAAAGAAAATATAAAAAGATTTACAGTACTGGCATTTCTAAGAACACTATCGACACTTTTCTTCTTAGTACTCACTCAAAGGAAATTTCACTGAGTTTCCTCTTACAGTGATGGAAAAGTGTGTCACCCAATTATCCTAAAAATCGACAATTTATCTATTTGACATTAGTAATTACTAAGATCGTGGTATTCGCCTGCTTCTAATATCGGACCAGTGGAGCAGTTTTTCAGTCATTAACTATTGTAATAAACTGTCCTGCATAGTTTTGCACGATATGACAGTTACCATCGTGCAAAAGCAAATTGATATTTCTAGTGCTATTGTCACTATTTATGAATAAATGGTTTAAAGGAAGTGGCTTACCTGTACTCCAACTTCACCTTAAAGACGTGAGTATTCTGGCCGATAAAATAAATAAAACGTTCTGTTACTTTATATCTCTGACTGATGCTCCAATAATGTAAAAGCTGTTAACAAAACAAAAATCAATAACAGAGTATGTAGTAGCCAACACGTGCAACTTTGCCTACTTTACATTTTCCCGTTAATGCAACATTTTTCATTGCAGCTCGGCTATAGCGTGAATTTATATATCCTATATCACTCACAAATAGCGTGGATTTCTATTGAAGTAGATTCATAATTCTATACAATCTTCAAACTTTACCTCTTTATAATATACTAAGTAGACAAGTAATTTTAGAAGCAACATTTTAAATACTAAAACGAAGCCATTCATTTTCGTTCGGTTCGTAATTTACGCATTTTATTCGCCGGGTGTATTTAAGTAGCTCAAAGGAGCACTTCTCAGCAATTAGCCGAAGTTTCCAGCTCTGTCAGTGTACAAGTTTGTGTTTGATTTTGTAATGTTTTTCCCTTAATGACTGATTCTACTTCCGTCACTCTACCAACCATCCTAATGGCGATCGCTCGCTGCTTATTGACATTTTATTACCGCTATCAATATTTATAACCAAAACCATTTCAATATTTTGCTTTTAATTGAGTAAGGCTCCCAACTTAGTTACTTAGTATGTTGATCATTATATTAATAATGTTGCGGTTGATTGCGATCATTATTCAATGACGATAAATTTATTAAAAATACTAGTTTCTTCAAGCGACTCCGACTTCGTTATGATCAGGATTGGTGGGATTATAATATAGCCTATGTCATTGGCATATATGTGTAATTGATGTACTTATGTTAGAGGTAATAGAAATGTTATGTTGCACTTAATATTACCGTAGTATAATATTGTATTTTATGAGGCAGCTTGACCTTGAGGGTATAAATATTGTTATGACAACATTGATCTTAATTACATATTTGTATGATGATCTATAATAATCGCCGGAAATAGATCAGATGCACATGACGAAGGTGTTTCTATAATTGTAAGGACATTACTAGATTAATAATAGTTGGAATACTATATTGATTTGATCCAACCTTGGGTTGAAGCCAATATCACAAATATGCGATAGTAATTGTGCTCATCCTTTTAATGTCATAAAAGTCATTAAATTGTCATTATGAATAGTGGCGAATAAGCATAAATATATGATGATACTAGGGTTCATAAAACATAAAAAGCTTAATGGCTATTTGAAGAAGCCTACGTTGAAGTATTTTAGGAAACCCTCATTTCTCTTAAGACTTCTATTTCTATCAGCCGAGTGTTAAATGGACGAAATGTTAAGTGTAAAGTCAATCTTGATATCATGATTATATAGTTCATCTAATATACAGTATGTACTACATACTGTGACGATTATAATATGGATTGTAATGTCCATTTATTATCAGGACATTATCACTCACTTTGGTTAACTACAATGAAAAGCTGTTCTAATGTGGTCATAGAGAAACCACTACAATATTTTTAAAGTATTTAGTATCGTACTTTGTAATGATTTATCGTATACGACTATATAGAGCATAATAGACATGATTAAGGTTTTTACTGTTTTAATGTTAATTATTTTTTTACAGGAATTTGGGTGCAGCATTGTTCTTCTGTTTTGAGTAAGTTTACAACAATATAATACAATTTTATATATTTGATGTATTATTACGTAAAATTAAATTAGGCTGTGTAGAAACATGTACTACGTGAGAAGACTATTATAATACATCGGAAGTGCAGGCCAGTGACTGACGAGCTTCAAAACAACTGACGTATGCATTAGCTGTACAGTTAATTTCATAATACTATTATTACTATTTATTGTTAACTATCCATTCAATATGCATCTTTTTCGATTGTCCTTCCCTTTACATACATGCGTATGTAAAGGGAAGTACAATCGAAAAAAATATGAATGGATGATCTGATGCATAAAAGAATTAATCTCAGATATGACAGATGATAGGGTTTATTGGAAGAAGGCAAGAAGGCGACATACTGCGCTGACCCCAAATAATAAGATGAAAGCAAGGCTAATTATTACATGACATTATTACTGATAATATATTTTAATCAACCTTTTAATTTGCCAATTACTTTAAATTTTATTATTGTAAGTAATTGAAAAATGTAGCGTACATTCTAGTTTCTGACATTATGCTATTGTCAAATGTATAATTGATAGTCATTTTATCAACATATCATATAACGGGGTTTTAACAAAGTATATTGATACATCGAATCTCACAAAAAATACAATCACGATAAATGTCCCGTTATATAATGTGTAAAATTGTAAACAACCATAACAAAATATAAAACGGTGTTTAGCAAGTATGAAATTGAATTTGTTCTTGTGTTTTGGAATAACAAACTATTAGACAGTCTATTTCAGGGACAGTAATAACCGTTGCTTATATACATACTCCTACATATGACACATTAATATTATGACCACCATGGCATCTCTCATGTCTCAATACAGAGGACTAAGTCATTTCTTTGTACCTCATGGTGTCACTGACCTTATTTGCCTTTTTAAAGCAAAACACAAGATGTTTCCAAGGTTGTTAACGAGCCTTGCTTGGCGTCTAAAATAGACTTATATGCCTTGCTTATCTTAACGACTTTATTCTCTCTCGGATAGCAGTACTTCTTTTGATCATTTTCACCACCTCGACTCTATATTCTATATGCAGCTGACTGTACGATATAAAATCAGCATTGTAGTTCATTGTAATTCGTGGTTACTGATATAGAACCGGTCACAAATTGCCCGGTTCTAAACAACTTGTCAATTAAGTCCAGGAAAGTTGACAATTACACGTGTGACTGAACTGTGGACGTTATTTTTTTTCCACGCCGCTGCCAATGATAAACAGATACAGTTTCTACTTAGAAAAAGTGCTTCCAATATTTATACTTTGTCTGTCTGCTTATATTTAATGAACGACTTTATCGACTTGATTTTCACGAACGAACCAACCAACTTAGTTGAAAAGTCTTCTCCCAGTAGTATATAAGTATCCACAATAAGATAAATATGCGTATTCTTATAATATTCGAGTAAATGAAATAAATGATAAGCTATAGTTTGAACTGGTATCTTTTATGCTACCTCGACCCTAATGTTCTTTATTGTCACAATACCTTATTCCAATATACTATTAAGTACTAAATTACAGGTAGCATGGTAAAATGTTTCATGTTCAGTTTTTTTTCTCCCTTTGTTATATTACGATTTGCTCCCTATATTGCCTCTTTCAACATTCTGATGAATATTGCTACATAAAAATTCTTAATCCACCACATTATTAAAAAGACGTTATAAAAAGATTAGTTAAATAATAACATAGATAATAATGAAGAATTTCATAACAGTAATGATATTGTAACTAAAAAATAAAAATATACATCTTGATAAAAATAACAAGTAGATGCATACATTCACTAGAGTAGTGGTAAAAATGGTGGTAATGAATACAACCGATCCGACTAAGGATATTACATCGCGTGATCATTCTTGTTCCGCTTCCGAATACGCGCAAGAGTTCATTTACTATGCGATACGAGCGTGCGAAAAATGTAACGGATTAAATAACAAAATATATATCCATTATGCCGTAATGAATCGTGGATCCGAGTGTACTGTATTCGATATATTTATTTATTATACTTGCACTTTAACAAAAAGTAACCTATTGGTAGAGGAGAAAAGACATAAGGTGGTGGATGGCGTATGATGGAATGAAAGAAACATAAATAATAATAGTAATATATAAAATACATACACATGTTATAAATATACCTTATACATAATATATAAATAAATTAGATATAAAAATAATATAATATAAATAATATCGAAATATATATACACAGCAACTGTGCAATTAAGAAAGAGACAATTTAGTAACAGCAGAAAGAATATTTACTGAGAGAGATAATGCGGTTTCACAGCGTTCTTGAAAATGGCTAGTGATTGCGCACACCCTATTGAGGATGGTAGTATAGAATAGAAAATAATTTATTCAAATAAACTTAATTTAAGCACTTTTGAATAGTCAACATTTTTTTTTAAATCTACCGCTTATTCGAAAAGCTGTCTCATTACTAGAAGAATAAGCAAGAAACTTGTGTGTTGCTCTTTTAAACAATCCTTGTAAGTTCACATTTTATAAGTCGGAACGTGTGTGTACAAACTACCAACCAGCACTAATTCATTTAGGCTCAAATACAAAAACACAATAGGATTAAATCAGTCATAGTGATAAGAGCAGTCCCTACAAGCAGCACTCGTTCACGAGTATGACGGATGAGCCAGTCATCACTGTCTCATTTTAGTGAGTATGACTACTCATTCCACTCGACCTCGTCATAGCTACTTATATAAGTGGGTTCCACAGTCACAGATACCCTTTAAACTAATGTATGTCGAAGCTTTCTATTATTATAAAGAGGTTACAAAGTCCTTACCTAGCTACTCACTACTCGCTCCGGCTTCGCACGGGAGTACATGTATTATATATAAACCTTCCTCTAGGATTACTCTATCTATTAAAAAAACCGCTTCAATATCCTTTGCGTAGTTTTAAAGATTTAAGCAGGGACAGACACGGGCAGCGATTTTATTTTATACTATGTAATGATGATTTCCTATATAAGATAAGAATATCCAATATAGACTCTGTAATAGTATTTTGAGGCCTTATATATAGACTCGTGTACTACACGAGTCCCTAAAACATTTATTTTACACTTATGACATAATTATAGCTTTAATTAAGTAGATATTTTCCTGATTGCTGGTATGACCACAAAATAAAGATAGAACTCTTGCATTTGATGACTTGTGGTTAGACTCTGTTTGATCCGGATGTTAACAAGCTTGTGAGTATGGTATAGTGAAAATTTTCCAAAACGGTTCTATAGATTTGGAGTTTATTTTTTTTTTCAATAAAATCAGCTCTATCTAATATTAGTAATAACCCTTAAAAAATCGGATTGATGTGAGCAGAATATGGATTATAAGATTAGTAGAGAGTATAGACAGTTTCAAATAATCTAATTACAAAACAGATTGTACAGATTTCTTTTATAGTTTCAGCTCGTTACAAAAAGTGGACAGACAAAGTGATTTCTTTAAAAATAGTCTGCCAGCCAATTGTATTTTGGTACATTCAACAAATAATACGTTTATATATATAAATGATTTTTTACGCATTCAAACCTTATTGACTTAATTGTGTAGTTATTTTCTATTTAATATTTCTTTATTAACGATCATAATAATATGTAAATACCTATTAAAATTGTAAATGTCGAAAAGTTTCACAATTTTTTTCCGCGTAATTTAGCCAAGTACAATCCTCTCTAACTAAAACAAAAAAAAACTATATTTTTATCATAACTTATAGTTATCTATTTATTATAATATAATATCCCTAGCCAAATTACAATTTAACCAGAATCTGTGTTACGAATAAGTCATAAAAATACTTATATTTTTTTGTAAATACACACATAATATATGTACATAGTAAAACACCCAGACTGATGCAAACAATCATTCTCATAAATACAAATATTTGTACTGATGCAAACAACACCCTGCCCGTTTAACCATTGGTGGTTAAACGGTTAAATTAAGGTAAGTAAACCTCGCTTAAGACCCGATTGACTCTATTATTAGTGTATATAAAAAGCGAAGGACTAAAAATAGGATTTTAATCTTTCGCGTTTTGTTCAAAATTAAATAAACTAAGATAAGAAAATGTATTCTAGTAATTCCGACGAAGTAGAAACCAAATGGTTCCTTACAAGCAACGCTGAGGAAAACGGCTGTTATATAATAAAACATAAAACTCATGTAAACCTACAGTTATTGACTTGTCCCATAAATCGGTCGAGCAGTGTTTTATCGAAACTAATCAAAATTATATTGCCGTATTATTTCTTTTTCGTAGACCGTATAAAGAGACGATTTAATAGCGGTACATGAATTACATACATATTTACCTATATTACATATGAAAGATTTCCAGTTCCATCATAAGTTCTGATTTTGAACAAAAATAATATGTATATAAATATACTCAATCGTTACAAAATTACTAGATATGAGTCCAGTGTGAAGAAAGCTGTTATCAAAATATGCAAACCGAACCGAAGTTACTGTCCTAGGAATAGGCATTTAAAAAACTTAAATTGATTAAAGAAACAGCCTAATGAAACCTTATTTTGGAGGTAAAAAGTATAACAGTATAATCACAGCAAACTGTGATGTAGACACAACTAATATTAGAGGTAGAGTGGGATATTAATATGACGGATAACTCCGATATTATTATTAACTTAACTACGGGCAAAGCATGAATTATGTCTATTTTTATTCGTTACGCTTGTAAACACAATTCCGCCATGGAGCTATCATGTACACTAGAATTCAGTATAACACAAATAAATGTGGGTGTGACAGAAATGATAATTGTCTCAGAATGCTCACGTCATAGGGAATTATCTCGACGGCGCCGCGACGTGTGGACACCTGTAGCATCGAGTGCCAAACCAAGCGACGAATTATTTTGATATATTTAGTGAACAATATATCGTATACTTT